TGTGTAATTAAAATTGTATCTTTTAGATAACAGTTACGCAACACATAAAGCGTCATTAGGGTAGGAAGTTAAGTAAAATTAAATAAGTGAATTCAGTGAAGTGACAAAACTGATCAAAACTGAAAGATTCAGTGATTGGTATCGTAAGGAGTGGAAATAAAATAGCGAGAAAGTAGGAAAATAATAAAACTTGTTAACAGATCAGGAGTTTAGGATTAACGCAAATTACGTGTCAATTTTTGAGAAACACTGGATCCACTGTCGGCTCAGTGTATCTATCAGTCCACCTGCTCAAAAAAGACCTACTTATGTTGACAACAACTAGCGTGTGCTATCCAAACGTTTCACTGATCATTTACCGTCATGGTGATATCGAGAATAAAAAGCATAGCCCTGCAGCACTAGTCTGGAACACCATGTCGATTCTGGACACCCAGAGGACTCACAAACCAGTTTCAGTATCATCCATAGAGTATAAATCAAAGTTTTTCAGAACTCAGAATCTATGGCAATTGAATTCACACGTTAAATCCCGAATTCTGCCTGCAGGAGAAATTTGTTCAGTTAGCTAACCTACAAGTGATCTAGTTTGTCGGAAAAAAATTTGATAAGTAATTTCGATTAATCCTTATTTTTCAATCTATTTGTTTTTATCGCCTTCCAGGACTACATTTCTACTTTTAATGAAAATGATCTTAACTTGATCATATTTTAAATTTGGTTGATCTCTACACAATTCTGTCCATTATGTTACGTCAATCAATTTACGTATTTATTCAGCTTTACTTTTAATTTCTATCCGATAAATGCTTTCTGTACTAAGTAGTCGTTATTATGAAACCTTCAGTTTTAATGGTACATCTTTGGAAATATTTCTTTTATTGCTATGAAAATGTATTACATACATAGGTGATTGTACAGCTTGAGAAAGATATCTCTGAAAAGAATAACTCTTTTATGAATACCTTCTTTATGCATGATTTCGTGGGGTTATTAAGATCAAAATAATTCAATACCTTCGTGTGTATGGCAAGTGAATAATCAACATTTATTATTATTATTCTTGCCTTGGGTTCCTAATGGAACATAGGGCTTCAGCTGCACGTCTTCCCTTGCTTCTGTCCTCTGCTGTACTTCTCACTAGCATCGGTGGCATAGCGGTTAGGACGCTCGCCGACCATGCACATGGTCCAGGGTTCGATTTCCTGCCGATGCCCTCCTTTTTAACCTTGCCTAGATTATAGCTCGCTAGTTTTCTAGCTGGTCCCAAGTCCGGATAAAGAGGGAGGATTGGGGCGTGGTGCTAGCAACTCCACCCCCAAAACTTAACCAAATCGCTACAGAAACTTTAACGCACAGATATATTAAATCAACATTTGGTTATTATTATTATTATTGGTTATTTGTGTTCTCATTGGAATTAAGGGCTTCACCGGGACATCTCCATCTGACTAGCTTCTCTGGCACTATTTTTAACTGGGTCTACAACTTCTCACAATCTTCCATTTCATGTATACTTAATCTTCTCCATGTCAATCTTGGACCCACAGCCAACCTGATGCTTTCCACCTGAGCTTCACTCAACGATCTGGCTGGCGTCTCATGTCACTCAGATGCCTACTTATCGTATGTCCAATCCCACTCCATTTCCTTTGGGATATATATTACTTGATAGGTTGTTGGCTGTCAGAGTTTGTTGCTGCTTATGTCTTCTGTGGCTGGCCTGCCTGGCATCTGATCTTCCTTATTGATCGAAGGCAGATGTACACAAAAGTCTTCACTAACCTGTTCAAAACTCTAAGTCTATGAACCATGTGGAACTAAATATATAGACTTAACTTGATTACTACTAATAGAAACCACTTTTGATTATGAATTTCCATGTAAAAAGTTTTACAAAATTAGTTTAAGGCGTTGTCGTTATTTAGACGTACGTGTATTAATCATGGGTAAGTATGAAGATATTTTTTGACAGAACAATTAAATTGAAGTAGGTGGTGATTCATTCAATATTTTCTTTGCTTGACTACACTATTTATAAAGATTTGTTTGTCTCTTTTATATATATTTTTCATTTTCTTATCATCCTCATCAGTATGTCTGAGATATTATTTACGATTATCAGTTGTCAGACAGACCTTAATTCATCTAAAGTCACCATGGGAATCTCCGGTGTTCAGCATAAAGAACAAAATTTGGATCTTCAACACCAACATCAAGTAAGTCACTGCTTCTATATTGATCTTCAAGTGTTGGTTTGTAGGGATTTGATTGGTTACAGGATTTCATCAAGAGCTGACATTAGTCAAAGAACCTCTGGAAAACCTGGGAGTACTGTAAAGCTAATTCGTCCTAGCTTAGGAATCTTCATCAGTACGCACCCACTCGGATTCCAACTTAGGTCCTTCCTGTTACAAGGCGAGCTCGTATATCATTAAGCCACTGCGACCCGGTCCAATGGACAGTCCATGAATTCTAACTTCTGCCAATTCACGACATAGCGCGACCCCTACCCAATGTCTCTGGCGAGTACTTGTCCTCACACCCGACCTGCTGCGCGCTATGTCGTAAATTGGTAGAAGTTGGAATTCATGGGCCATTGGATCAGGTCCCAGTGGCTTAATAGCATACGAACTCACCTTGTGACCAGAAAATCCTGCGTTCAAACCTAGGTGGTGGGTGCGTACTGATGAAGAGTCCCAAACTAGGACGAAACAGCTGTCCGGTACTTCCAGGTTTTTCAGTGCTTCTATATTGGTTCAGAGATTTGACATGTCAACTAAAGTATTCCCAACATCCTATTAATGACTCTTATTACCAGCTATCTTCACTGCATTCTGAAAATCAGAAAAGGTTAGCGGCAAGGAACTCCTACAACAAATCGACGAATAATCTTTTGACTAAAAGATAGGCAGGACAAAGTGGAGATGGATTGGAAGCACACTGAGGAGACAGTTGAGTGACATCGTGTGCCACGTTCTCGACAGGAATCCGAGTGGGAAAAGATGGGTATTGTGTTTGAGATTAGTACAGATGAGATCGTGTGAGATTATTATTATTGTTGTTTCCTTTAATTCCTAGAGGAAAATAAGGCTTCAGCCGCACGTCCCCATTGCATTCGGTCCTCTATCGATGTTTCCACCTGGCTCCACGTCTGTCCACATGCTTTCATCCCCTCTCCACGTGACCTCCTCCATGTCACCTTCGCACTGACGACCAGCCAACCGCTTCCCATTTGGGTCCCACTCGAGCGACGGCCTGGCGTGTGATGTCATTCATTTGATGGTTTTCTTAGAGTATGGCAGTCCACCTCCATTATTCCTGCTGAGTCGGTTCGTTCATGGACAGAGATTGCTGTTGCTGATCTTTCCTGGCCAGCCATCTAATCTTCAGTATTGAGCGAAGACAGCTGTTGATGAAATTCTGTAGTTTGTTCGAAGTGGCCTTCGTGACGCGGTGTGGCACCAAGTCTCTGATCCGTATAGTAGTACTGATTTGGATCATGTGAGTAGGGAATGATAATTAATCAGCACTCCTGGGACCAACCAAAGACGACTTCACAGAACAGGATTAAATGAAGATGTTCTCGTCTCATCCACATGAGTTATTTATGGATATGAAAATTTAGTTCTGTTGCGGGTGCGAGATGGCACATGATGGTTATATATGACACTGGAGGTGTTTCTTGACAAAATATACATAACACGACAATATATATATATATATATATCATTTACAGCTATGGCAAAATACAGAAACCTTACAGGGAAATGTCCATTTGCAGTGAAGCTCTCTGAAAATTCTGCATTGTGTACACACATATTTTTGAGAATGAAGCTATTATTATTGTTGTTAATAAACTAACTTAGATGGTTTTGTTGAGTCATTAATGTAATGAGGTACTTTTGGAGGGTTTCTAGGGTTTTTCTAACTATTCTTTTTTTAGCGTCTCTGCTTTACTCACAGTTTCTGCTGATTGTTACCATGAGGAACACTTTTTTTCTGTTTGTGACATTCGCCACATCCCTTCATAATTGTAATCTGATTTATTTAGCTGCATAATTTTTGGGTGTATCATTAAACTACCTAAGTTATATTTTTGTCTAAGTTGATTTTTGTTTTACCCTTTTATTGATTGAACACCGCCTCCTAGTACGGATGTCTCGATGATTTCTGAGGATTAGCACTGATGGTCACTAGCAGTATAATGTCAGGTTTATCCAGATGAAGATTCCCAAATAGGACGAAATATGCGTACTGGGTTATCATTTACGAAGATATTCCTGAAAACTCAGTGGTTCTCTAAATTTATTCGTTTATGGTTTGAACGCACGAAACTGATTTCTACGTTCTACTGTTTAGCTGACAAAACTTCGTTGAGACACTCGCTATCAAAAAATGTTCCAAATACAGGGAAATGACTATTATTCTTCAATATTTTAGCGACAGCGAGCCCCATATCTTGACCCTTTACACTAACAATAATAGATTTGGGAAATGACACTGATGATAACACGAATAACCTTAAGACTTTAACTAGACGCTGAACATTTTCAGGATTGAAAGATGAACAGAAAAATGAATTTAACTCCATTTATATTCCTTTGGGATGAAGGATTCGAATTACAACTCGACTGTAAACATGAGTAACCAGAATGATTGATATGAGTTGATTTGGCAGTCTTAGTCCCAGATTTTTTAAAATTATTGTCTGAATTATGAGATGCCCATACATTACTCAAACTTGTAGATGAACTTTGGGAGGAGTCGTATGAAGGTGGACCGATAAATGCATTTGTTTGAAAGACCTCATGTAAAACAGAAGTCAAGTCGATTCCAGAGATGAACACAGTCATAGGTAGCTCTATTCAAAACCATTGTTACCTCTTCAAGAACCAGAATAGTAAATGTATTCTTAAAAGATGAACTCGGTGACCGAACCCTAACCTCTGTAAATCGAGCCTGTACATATTTTTTTTTACACAAAAAGACTTAAAACTTTAGCCCTCCATTTGTCGATTGCTATGTCTTGAATTAGTTATTTGAGGCATTTCTGAGTTCTCGAAACCGGGTTCAGAACTCATGCTATCACACGAACCTTTTTCAATGCGATAATGAGTTAGATTAATCATTTGATTTTCAGAATTGGCTTGAATCATTGGACTAGCAGGCAATACAGTAAATATCTTTGTACCATGTTGAAGATTATCTGTTTCATAAGACTGAGTACCTGTTGAGAAATCACTTTTGTCTGCTTGCTTAACGTGAACATAACCCACTTCTGTATTGTCTACAATAACCGACGACTAAGTGGAATACATCTTTTCATTCATACCTGAACAATTTATAGCAGAGATGCCAGGAACTAGTAAGCTGTTTGTTGTTGATCTCCTGTTGGAACAGTGACAAACATTATTTGTTGTAGGGTCGTTCTGCTCAACTTCAGATGGACAGCTGTCTAGTGATCTTTCAGAATGCGGTCGTTTAGGGCCAAGTACAATGGAAACTTCTGGCCGTATTCCATTTATTCCACCACTATATTTGGCTATGATTTTTGCTGATAGGGACGTGGGATTCTTCAAGTGACCGCAAGCCACAACAAAAGGATTAGTACCATACAATATACCCTTAGGCGAATCAACTGTATGCAAATGACCTCTAGAAATTAAGATATCCAATGCAGAAAAAGCATTTTTCTCAGAAATACTGTAGCGCTTTGCACAAAGATTTAGAACTAACTCTTGTATCAGACGACTTCGTATCATTTCCAAATAGCAAACAATACTCATTATTTTTAAAGATGATAGAACTAGGTGTAACAGAGTTATCAGGGTGAGATTCAGAGAAAGCTGAATTTGGCTGTTCATTCGACCTTACAGCAGTTTCTTAAGCACGCTGTCTGGAAGAGGTCTGAAGTTTGGCGAAAAGTTATATTGAAAGGATTCAGCACTCTGAAATTGAATAATAATTTTGCTGCTAAAATGATTCATTTCATGACGATCTAAGTAAGAGCGTATATCTTTATGCCTGACATATACACTTCGTATAGTGACAAAATTGTTTGCAGAATAACATCAGTAACTAAAATTTCATCCATGATGTTTTTTATGACGCCATATTCCCCTGACTGATGAATATGAGTGGTTGACAGTCTTACACATCAACAGGTAGTACCTGCTAACCAGATTGAAGTAGTCTATACACAGAATGGTGCTTTCTCTCGTTTAAGGTCAGGCTAGTCAGTGGTGTACTCATTTTGACTGAACTCAAAGAGGTGATTCCGTCGAGATCACTTAAATTCTGGTTAACTACTTGGACGAACTGGTAAAATGTGGATTCAAATTCTCAGCTTTCAAGTTATTTTATAATTTGAAATTTACATTAGTCGAGGTAAAATTTCATTCTCGTTCATTCTGGTTAGCAAACTTTGCTCACTGATGTGAGTGGTATACACTTACTCATGTTAATCAATCAGCGGCATGTAGCGCTATCCATTGAAGTTTATTTTGTTGGTTAGCATTTATGATATCAAGGAAAATATATATATTATCATCTGAAGGAAGCTCAGGTGAAACCTCACCTCGAACTGCGAATATGATCTATTGATGTTTTTTATTTGATTTCTAGAGTCACATCAAAGTTTAGTGCTTAGAGTGAGTAAACAAACTGCGCGAAGATGACACTCACAAGTATATACGAAAAGCGATAATGACCAGCAGTTTTATTCAGTAAAATCAACAAATAAAGCCATCTGTTTACACCCAAACACTAAATACCCATGTGGTGAGTACTCCTTATAATCAGATACAAGTAGTATATCAGTAAACAAATTCAGAAAGGTAACAACATGTTTTAGACACTGAAAAAATCAATCGAAGAAGTAAACTGTAAGAAAAACGTTAGAAACACTGTGCAGAATCGAACAAGCTATCGAATGTGGTGATTTTCGACCAATTTTCAAAAGATATGCAAATAAAGCATTGGAAATATGGTATACCAAATTTATGTAGCTACAGTCATTTTTCCTGATATGATGATGCAATCATGATGCAATCCTCCAACCAATCAAACTAAACCCCCCCAAAAAAAGCCAATACTTGGGAACTCACACTATGTGTTGGTTGACCATTTCCATTCATCAGATGAATGTCTTTTTTTTAAGTGTCAATGTATTATCACTTCTTTGAAATAAGCCTTAACTATCGAATAATGTTGATATACTTTCAGTTGAACAAAACAGCGAGGATTTAAATGTAAATGATTGTGCAGTATGTAAACTTTTAAAGTCTAATCTAGAATGTTCTTACGCTTACACTAATTTGTTTTATAAACAATTGACAGTAAACGACATATATTTCAAAGTTATTCAAAAGACAATGGAATGATGAGTGAATTTGTATTTTAACACATTGCTTCGAATGTATTTCATTTAATCAGCCTAGCAACATTTCGTTCACATCCAGTTGTTTTGTTCTCATCAGTTTCTGGTACCCTAAAATTGAGAAATAAATAGATCTTTTCCCTTCTCTTCTCGTCCTTAAGTTTACCATTATTATTATTATTATTATTATTATTATTATTATTTTCAAGTATTGTTTTTGTAGGGATTTTGTTTGATTGTATGGAGGATTTCACTATGAGCTGACATCAGTTAGAGAACCACTGGAAAACCTGGGAGTACTGGACAGCTGTTTCATCCTAGTTTGGGACTAATCATCAGTAAGCACCCACCGTCATAGTTTGAACCCAGGAACTTCTGGTTACAAGGCCAGCGAGCTCGTAGAGCACTGAGCCACTGACACCTGACCCGATGCAATGGTTCTTGAATTCTAACTTCTGCCAGTTCACGATATAGAGCGACCACTTCGGAATATCTTCTTCGATGAGTTACTGCCTTATCTTCGACCTGTTGTACCCTACTGGTCACGGATTCCCAATAGAACTCCAGGTTAACTGCCTGAATAGGGCCAGTCGCTGGTGAGCACCAGATTAATTTTCAAGTATTGGTTATTATTATTACTACTATTTGGTGTATGTGACATTAGTTAAACACTGAAAGCATTTATCAGAAGAACTCTGATAGTAATAGAAAAATAAGTCCATCATGCAGTTGACGTCTGCTGTGAAAATAGCAAGATAAAACAAGAACTGAAATGAAGCGAGATGTTGTTGTTAGAACTATTCATAGAATATACTTTAGAATAAATATATGTCCAAATGACTACTAGTTCGCTCATAATCTTAAATCTTTTAAATGTGATTTAACAACAACATGTCGTTTAATAAAGTGCCCGCCTAAACACAAGCCTACACGGATTCTGCAAAAATTTCACAACTAACTTCTGACTACAATACTTCTTTGAAGTTGTTATTGTAAAGAAATGTTTTTTTTTGTTTTATTATACACCCAAAAGACAGAGAGAGAGAGATTAGAAGAAGGAGTTATAATTATAAAATGGTTTTATTTAGACTTTATGCTGAATGATGCATTCAATGGTGTGATGTTTTGTAATCAACAAGAATTATTATTATTATTGCTATTGTTATTATTAGTATTATATGAGCAGTATTATTAAAGAGAACTATTCCTGGTACACATTCAAGCGATTGTATAAAGTGTGAAGAGCCCAATTAATTAAACACTAAAGTGAAATATTAAATTTCTCAATTAAACAATAACAAAATATACAAGCAAACACAAATAAAAACGTGTTTGTACAAACAATATGTATATCAACTAAATTTACTCATGTAATTATTACCTTCTTTATATTTCTAGGCTTATTATGTAATAAATCACTTTGGTTAATGTATATGTTTGTGTAGAAGTAAAATGAATTGAGAATTAAAGTTGTTGAATCAGGTAGGAATAGAGTTTAGCCATTATGCTAGAGTGTATAATTCAAACAAAGAGAGAATTAAGATATTTGTAAGATAAAAAGAGTGCGTACTTTGCATTTCATCGCATTTCACCACCTGCTAACAGCCTAAAGTATCTTTAGTTTTAATTCCTTTGCCTTCTGAGTGGAACATGGGACAATAGGCTTCCAGCTTTAGTGATTCAGTAGTAATGGTGTTGTTTATTATCGGGTCTGGTTGCTAGCCTCACACTGAACCATCTGATCAAAGTTTAGGAGTGCGTCGACTGGGAATCGAACCCGAAACACATGAGGTATGGCTCGCGAGTGTTCTACCTCTGAATTATCGTCACACAACAGCTTGAAAGTGATATAAGTTATTATAAATGCAAAAAAACATAAAAATTTAAGTGTTGGTCTGTAAGGATTCGGTTGGTTACAGGATTTCATCATGAGCTGACATCAGTTAGAGAACCACTCGAAAACCTGGGAGTACTGGACATCTGTTTCGTCCTAGGTTGGGACTCTTCAGCAGTACGCACCCACCGGGGGTTCGAACCCAGGGCCTTCTGGTTACAAGGCGAGTTCGTATACCACTAAGCCACTGGGAGCCGATCCAATGGCCAGTCCATGAATTGTAACTCCTGTGAATTCACAACATAGCGCGACCGCTAGCCAATTTCTTCGGCAAGTATTTGTCCTCAAACCCAACTTGCTACACCCTACTGGTCACGCTTTGTAACCAGAAGTTCCTGCGTTCGAACCCCCGGTGAGTGCGTACTGATGAAGAGTCCCAAATTAGGACGAAACAGCTGTCCAGTATTCCCAGGTTTTCCAATGGTTCTTCAACTAATTTCAGCTCATGATGAAATCCTGTAACTTCAAAAATTAATACAACTGAAAGGATATAGTAGGGAATGGAGTAAGAGATATTTATGTGTGGGTAGTTCGATAGTGGGATAATTGCCAACCACAAATATCGATTGAGGTTTGATACCCAGCCTCTAGTGAACTCTTAAACCTCTGTTTGCCAGTAGTAAGACTTGTAAAGAGGGAAGGTTGTGTATAAGGCCAGCAGCTTAACCTGTTAAAACAACACCAGTAGTGATGAAACTGCAGAGCTCAAGCCTAAAGTCCTATTTTCCCCGCGGAACGTAAAGGAACAAAATAAAATTAAAATAAATAAATAAATAAATAAAATGGAAGATAGTAATCTAACAACTAGAGTTTATTTTCACATGAAAGCGTGAAAGAAACGATAATTAGGAGTAAGATCACTACATGACCAAACAACTAAATAAATGAGTTGTAATCAAAAAACTGTTTTGTGATGCAACCGAAATACAGAGACAGAGTAAAGACGTTTAGTTACCTGCATAGTACAAGATTAATCACACATTATCTTCATCACATTATGTATAAATGAACTCCATTTGTTAGATTATTAACTGTATTTTATTCATATACATTGTTGAACAACTATGTCCTTTGAGTTGAAATAATCTTGAAGCATTTTTAATTCGCTTTTCTTTTTCAGACTAATTGATTAACACTCGTTGCACAAGAGGTAGCTGTATGGGCCCAAATGGTCTATTGGGTGATACTTTGGCGTCTGAAACAATGGGTACTGGGTTTGAGCCTCAGTGACAGCACCATCTACTAACTGGAGAGTGAAGGTGCACCCAGATGACGTGTCCCAACTAGGATGAATTTCACATCCTGAATTTCATACCAGTCACCATCCACCAAAATCTGAAATTTCTTAAATGCTTCTGTATTTATCATAACTTACCACAATTTTAGACTGCCAGCTGCTGATGAAAACTCGTGAAATGCAAAACTGAGCTTTATTATTCTGTGAATGTGTTCAAGTGAATCAAGGAAACTGGTTGCATGAAAGTATAATTCCATCGTAGAATAATTTTATTTCA